CCCATCCCCAGCCAGCAGCCGGTGATGGTGCAGTGCCAGGAGTCTCAGCTGGTGGTAACAGTGCACAGGGACCTCTTCGGCACCGGCCGCTTGGTCAACGCAGCCGATCTGACGCTGGGACCGGCAGCGTGCAAGCATTCCTCACTGAACCCTGCCCACAACACTGTCACCTTCACCGCCGGCCTCCACGAGTGCGGCAGCATCGTGCAGGTAAGACCTTCTCCCTTCAGATCCCACTTGGCATTCCCCTGCCCTGGAGCAGCTCCAGGCTGTGGGACCTACAAGAAGCTCCAAGTCCTGGATGCAGAGCACTATTGAGGAGCACCCCAAGGGAAGGATGAGGGGATATTTCCTCCAAATGGGAATGTTTTTCCCTAAAGCTGCTTTGCTTTTCCAGCTGGAGACATGCCAACAGTGCAAAGCCCCTATGTCAGACCCATTTCACTCGTGTTTTGTCCCATTAGAAAGTTTAACTCACTGAGAATGGAGCAGGGCTCCTCCACCCCTTTTCCTGGCTTCCCCCCCTCTGTTTTTATTTCCCCAGCCTTCCACAGTTGGGAAAGGACAGCTATGTGTCTCAGTGGTGGCAGGAGGTGGGGTGACCTCACCACTGGTTTCTCACTGCTTTTCTGCCCAGATCACGCCTGACTCCCTCATCTACCGCACACTCCTCAACTACGACCCCAGCCCTGCCAGCAACCCCGTCATCATCCGCAGCAACCCCGCTGTCATCCCCATCGAGTGCCACTACCCCAGGTAAGGGCTCCCCATCCTTGGTACCCCCACACCAGTCCCTGGGGACTAGGATGGGGCTGCATCCTGATGTGTGGTATCCCTTGGCCAGGAGGGAGAATGTGAGCAGCAATGCCATCCGACCCACCTGGGCTCCCTTCAGCTCCACACTGTCAGCGGAGGAGAGGCTGGTGTTCTCCCTGCGCCTCATGAATGGTAGGTGGGAAGCCATCCCAATCTGCAGATGGGGATTTTCCACCCTTTTCCCAGTGCAGGGATGCTTGGGGACCCAGCACCCCACTGGGGAAGCCAGCCCACCCCATGGCAAACACCAGCGCTCCTGCTTTTGGGCTGAGCCTTGGCTCTGCTCCCTTGGGAGCTGGGGGACAGCCAGAGCCACCTCATCTTCATCACCCTGGTCTTTGCAGAGGACTGGAGTGCCGAGAGACCCTTCACTGGTTTTCAACTGGGTGACGTCCTCAACATCCAAGCAGAGGTGGCCACGGAAAGCCACGTGCCGCTGCGGTTGTTCGTGGATAGCTGCGTGGCCGCCCTGAGCCCTGGCACTGATTCCTCACCCCACTATGCCATCATCGACTTCAATGGGTGAGCCCTGGGGACCTGCTGGTAGCAATGCTGGGGGGGACCTGTCAGGATGCTGCCCCCCCTGTCCCACCCCAGGTGCCTCGTTGATGGGAGATCGGATGACACCAGCTCTGCCTTCATCACCCCCCGGCCCCGGGAGGACATGCTGCGCTTCCAGATCGATGTCTTCAGGTTCGCGGGGGACGTCAGGAACCTGGT